GCTCTCGATCCGCTTTATCAAGGTTGGATCATCTTCTTTGAGTGATACAAGTTGGAGCGTATTTCAAAAGCTACACAGTTGATGTTTTGTAGGTTTCCAGTTTTAAGTGCTCAATATGTTCTTGCGTGGTTTTGATTAGAATGTAGTCGCAGGAGCATAGATGAAATAAAAGTTTGAGCATAAATACATTCGGTGTTAGTAGCAATTGTTTGTTGTTGTTCCAAATTACTTGAGTCAGTTGTCTCGAGTTGCTATGGCCTTCAAATTTGACTGCTAAAGTTGAAAGCAGATCACAAGAAAGTCTGTCAGATCTCAAGTTTAAGAGAAAGGCTCGTTTTATAACATGGAGACGAGTTTCTCTTATGCCTCGCCAAACTTAAGAGCAGACTGGGGTCAGGCCGCCTTCCAAATTTTAAAATTGGAGCTTAGTTGCTATTTCGTCTTGATTGAAAGCTAGTGACTCTGCACAATTTGCTTGTGTGCAGCTACAAATTAGGTTTTTTTATCCAACAGAAGTAGTTCCGGTGCTCTGTGTTGAGTCATAAACGTTCAAACTGCTGGTGAACAACTTTCAGTTAAGATTTTTAGTGGTATGGAAGTTGATTGCACGCGTTGTCAGACAAGTGATAAGACAAGTGTAGCTTTTGTTTATAGTTTTTTTTGCACGACACAAAATCAAGTCCAACCTTTTCGAATGGAAGTGAAATTATTTCCCGATCGTTTTGTTGCTAAGAAAAAATCTCAACCAAAAAAGCGTTTTAAATTTTACCTTGGAAGCGGTAGCACAAGAAGTAGTGATGACAATTTTGCCTCAACATTTTTCGGAGTCTCAATATTATGAAGTTTTGTTGCAAGCAGTTTTGTAAATTATCAGTGCTGAATTGCATACGCTTATGATGAGCGTGCTCACCATCAGTCAAGTTCATGGTTCACATGCGTATAAATAAGTAGGATGCTTGGTTGCATCTGGATTTAGTGAATTAGTCAACCTACACCAGATTTGAAGAAAAATCCATCAAGGAATTGTGAGCAGGGTAGTAAAGCGTTTTTGCTTTATAGTGCCTTATACACGTTAAGCCGCTTACCGATATCTGAGAAATTGCCGAAGTTACTCGTAAATTGGAGTCTGAGCTTGCTCCCGGTCTTTACCCATTATAGGTTGTTACCGTCAAAGCATATGTGTCATTTTTATAACACGATCAATTCTCCGGAACATCAAAGACTGGACCACTTTTGTAGCAGAAAATGTGGTAAACTTACTCTTTCTTTGAAGCTTGGATATTTAGAATTGCACGATCGACTTGTAAAGAGGATGTGTTAACCTAAGCTGTGTTCGAAATGAGCTCTGTGACATCGTTGCACAGTTCCTTTTTTCCGACAAACATATATATCTTAAGATTGCAAACAAATTTGATTATTTCTGTGGGAATAATAGTCTTTATGTTTGTCCGTTGTTTTGATCCAGCATTTTCTGTCGTTTTATTTGTCCAAACAAAACACAGTTGAACTTGAGTGGGGATTGCTCGAAAGTAAATTTACAAAAACGGGCGCCAAACACAGAAGCTTGCAATTCTAGCTCAAATTTTTTTTTTCTCAATAATGGTGCATCATTGATTATTCCATTCATAAATAACAGTTTTTCGTGTTCTTGCTCGAAATATTGCCTGTAATTGCAAGCATATCATTTTTTATTGGACAGTTAAAGCTTTTGGTTCAGTATTTCAAGAATTACGACAAATTCTGTTTGCAAGATTCCTGCTATGGTAGTCAAAATTTTCTTAGTGGTTTTTCCTTAGCCGTTTTATCTTCGGGCTGAATGAAAGAGTATCATTCCTGGTATCACAAGTCCTCCCAAATTCCGATGAACTGGTTTTCGGTTTTACTTTTGGGTTCAGTGAGGAAACCTAGTGCGACTGGAATTGCCAACATCAAACCTTTAGATGACTGCTGAGCTTTTAGTTGCTTGTCTACAAAGAGAGCAAAATCATCCATTTTGAAGCTGTTATGAATTATTTGCTGTATGTTGTTCCAAAGCGTGTTGATGCGGTAGCGAGCTTCATCTTGTTGATAGCTTTGTTTCTCAAATTCAAACTGCTTTGTTTGTTTGCTTGAAAATAGTCCTGAGTTACAATAAAAATTGAGCCTGATTCTTCGACTTACCATCATTTATCAAAATTGCATTTAAAGTGGCATCTTTGTGTTGTCTTACTTCATTGAATTTCAAGCAAAATAGTTTTACTACTCAATTGAAAAATTTTGATTTGGCGTGTCGGTTAGCGTCCATTATACCAGGATGCATATTTCATACGGCTGCCGACAGGGCTTTTCAAAGGGTTCCTCTCTTGAAAGAATATGTCGAAGCCGTATAAAACAGATCGAAGAGACTAGATAATGAGATGTGTCGTTGATGGTCATACCTGTAACTTACGTTGTTCACTCGCGCGAAATTTAAACATTGATTAGACTGCTTGTAGAATAAACGTAGCAGAAGTAGAAATGAAAAATCCAAAAAATAGTTGATCGACTTTTGAAGAAACATCGTTCTCGCTGAAAACATAAAGAATGTTCCATTCAACTGCTTGACGGGCCCTACACTGTAGGGCATATTTGCATTTCAAGAAATAGGAACAGTTGCTGCAATTGTTCAGAATTAAATAGCAATGAATCGCTCGTTTGTTGTTGAGTTATGATTTTGACATGTTTTTGAGTTGGTATAATAAACCAGACTTTCAAATCACTTGGTTTTCAAGGTGACAGTTTTAGATATCTGAATTTTTTGCTGAGTACTTTCTTTCTTGTTCCAATTGAAAATAGAACTTTTCCCCTCAGTTATCTATGGCACAACGTCTTGCAGACGTACATTCAGTTTATGTATTTTAACTTGGCAGTTGAAGCAAAAGTCATTTTTCTTCTTCTCTACTTATGTTTAGTTGCGCAGTGAGCTTCAAGAAAGCTAGATGCTGTCCAATGTAGTGACTTTTTTTTTGTTCTTGGGGCATGAACCTTTTGTTTTACTTGCTTCGTTCTTAATAAATTTTTTTTTTCGATTTAATGCCTGTTACGAAAGAGTTTTGTTGCTGGTTGTTTTTGTCCAATTTTACAAAAAAAATTCAAGCAAGACATTGTTTTGTCCGTGGGATAATTGAATGTATCACAATCCATCTCATGAATTCAGTGTTTTTCCCATTTGAATAAAACTGCTAGTGGGATATGCAGCGAGCAAGCCGAAAAAGGTTGCTCAAGTTCAATTCGGATGGGTACATATGCCTTATTTTACGTTGAAAAGCAGTAATTATGACGAAAAATTGGGTATCATCAAAGTGCCCAAAATTTTGCAGTTCACTGGTAAAAGCTTAAATAACGAATTCGGTGTCGCCCCATCTGCGGTTTAGCTCCTGTTTTGCGTGAGTTTACTGTTAAGAACCAGTGCCAAAATTTACCACAATTTTTCAAGCTCCATCGTCTCACAGGTACTGCAGGTAAATTTTTTTCACATCAATCTGTGTGACTTTGTTCCCCGTTGCAAATTGAATTAGGTCAAACCAATTATTCCGTTCTATTGGGTTACAGTAGAAACTTACACGCTTTTAATCAATCAGCTTGATCCATTTGAGACTGTAATAAAATGAACTGTTGCTTGTGTTGACTTGCTGACTAGTTTCGCAATTTTCACACCCAGCTGATCCGTAGAACTTATGCTGAGGCCATTAGCACAAGTATGTTACTGTTGTGGCGATGAATTCAGTGCATACTTATCATAAAGAGGAACTAGAGGAACTACAATGGTCGTTAATGTCATCACATTGTCGTCGATGTGTTGGCCATGGAAATTCTTGCATCGTTCTTGAGTTTCCTGTCATAGTGTAAAGTCCCTTAGTTTTGTAGTCGTAACGGATTGGCAGTCAAAAAGCATAAAAATTAGATGGCACCGTTGTTGCATCAGTATCTAAACTAAAAGCGACGTACACGCATGGTGTGTGTTCTTATAAGTTGCCGAGGAAATATGCACGAGAAGGACTGAAGGAATCTTATGTCTGTGTTCCGTTGCATTTTTCCTATCGTCGCCTTTTTTTCCGCTAACATTCGCGGCTATGTATCAAGAGGTATCTTGTGGCCGTTTTTGCACGTCTGCTGGAAGACAGGAAGCTATATCATCAGCAACTTCTTCCAACTCTTGCAGGCATTTCAACATCCTGATAGTCTTTTTGATCGTTAGATTGCTAGCAGTGAAACTTGGCCGAGAAAACAGTTTGACGTTTTGACTATTACAGATTTTAAAGCCCCACTGTTCTAACTTTTTAATAGATTTTTTTTCACATCATGAATTGACCGACTGATATATTTTGGTTTGTTCAATGGATTGTTTAATTTCCATTTTTTTTTCAATTTTGAAGATGAATTTGCAGCCGGTATTATGGTCTGGTAGTTGTTTAATGAAATTGAAAGTTGGGTTCTGCGTATTTTGTTTTCATTTTTCTGAAAGTATTAACGTTTTAGAAAAAAAATTGAGGTTAGTTAAGAAAAAACAATTAACTCTAACTTGTTTTTTTCAGCCATAAATAAAAAAATAAAAAAAACAATGAGACAAAAAACAATAGAAGCGGCTGTTCTACATTACCGAGATATGTGCAGTTAAATGTCTTCAGTAAATATCTATAGTGAATTTAAGTTGAAGAGATATTTTCTAATTTGAATGGTCCAAAAATCAGATCGAAAACGTTGAAGAGATATTTGTCCAAAGTTGAATATTCCAGAGAGATAATAATTAGTTTTTTAAACCACAAAAACCCTGGACTGAAAATTTGGTCCAAAACAAGACGTACCGGCAGGGTAGAAAAGAAACGCTCCGATCATAATTAATATTTGTGCAGAGAAAAAAATACGATAGAAATCTTATGGTTTCTTTTTAATTTGCAGTAATTTTTGGAAAAGTTTAATACATTTTTTTAATTATTGCAGCGTTTTCTATTTTTGAAGAAAAGGAAAAAGGTACTTTTTAGAGACTGCTGCTTCTACTTCAAACAAAGAAGAGAGTGGCAACTGGACCACAGCTATATTTGCACTGCCGTTACGAAAAACTAAAGATGCAAATGCGCGTGATTGTTATCATTTCAGGTCAGCAAACAGTATTTTTTTTTCAATTAGGTAACCAGTGGCTCATTTGGGGGAGAGGGGGTCATTTGTTTGAGCTAAGAAGTTTAATACTTATTTGGTAGAGTTTCTAAGTCAATTTATAGCAAAGGAAAATTTTTTGAACTAGCGACCAGGTAATCTCTAGTAAGTTTCGCAGATACTTGGACCACAAAAGTTGTTTCCTTTTTGTTTCACGTTTTACTCAAAAAGTTCAACGGTGGGTTGAGGTATCTGCACTCTAGGTATTAACAATTCAAACTGGAATTGTTTGCAGTTCCACTTCATAATACAAAAAGAAATCATTTTTAGAACAACATTAAGGATTCTTTAAAATCAAAAATTATTAAATACAAGAAAAAATTGACAAAAATAAATAAAAAAATTAATTTGTATGCCATCGAAGATACTTGTAAAGAATTTTCAAAAAAGAACAAACTTGGAAATACTACAAAAAAAAATTGATTTTGAGAGTTTTTGTTTTAAAAGTTTTCCGAATTTAAAAGACATTTCCGAATTCAATTTTAAGCAATGCAAAAACTTTCAAAGGTAGCCAGCATTGAAAACGTTGTCATTTTATTTAATTCAAGCTGTAAGATTTTTCTAAGCTGATCAAAATGATTCAAGTCTATTATGAAGACTAAAAAGAATATCCCTCAAATGTTCTGCCTTAATTTTTCAGTGGTAGGTAAGCTCCTAAAAATATTAAAATCAGCATGATAACATATTTCGTCGAGTTTTACTTTCTCAACTACAATCGGTTTAATTTTTATTTCGTCGTGGAACAGTCTACGCAGTCCTGTCACTTATTGAGGCTAAAACAATTTTCCACGATCAAGTAAAATTGCCAAAATGCACTTTCATACAATTTGAAAAAGCGTTTGGGACAGTTATTTATTCCTGTTACAAAATTTCGGTCATGTGGGTTTAGGTTTTTAATTGGTTGTAATTGAAAAATCAATTCAAAAATTTTATCCGAGTCAAAATCTTATTCAAAATGTAAACTTTTTTTGAGTCAAAAGAAGCAGTTTGTGGAACCGAAATGTGCAACCTGAAAAATAAAGAAAATTCGCATCCTCAAGTATCTTCTCTTTGTCCACTGCTTTTCATAAATGTATACTTAAATCAATTCAATCAAGGAGAAAAAGTTAAGGCACATGCTTTGAAATGTGATAAAACAAAAATTGATTTTCTGTAAATATGACTAGAAAAAAGAAGTCTATCAATTTCAACTGTAATTACAAGAAAAATTAGCGTAAGATTTTTATTCAATGCCCAAGATTTTAGGAAGATTCAATACAAAACTAACTATGGCGTTCGGCTTTTACAAGTACGAATCATCAAAAAAACTGTTGTCTGGATCAAAAAGTGAATTGTGCATTAAAAATTATCTTTCAAGCAATGAAACACCATCAAAGCTTGAAATCAAAAGGTGGGAAAACAATAGACAGTTTCTTTTCTGAGCCCAAATTGTACAAACTAGTTAAAAATCTCCAGAGTAGCAAATAAACAGCCGTAAAAACAGCTTTTAAACACTCCTATGTCCGACATACAAAGTGCAGCAAGAGTTTCACTACATGCGTACAAAAAAGTTCGAAACAGTCAAATACGATATGCTTCGAAATACTTCATTTCAAAAAAGAAACATAATAAAAAAAAACTGTTGTTTGGATCAAGAAATAAAGAGTGCATTTGGAACCTGATCAAAACTATATATTATTATTGGTTATAAATTAGATAAATTATCCCTATAAAATATTAAAGACTAACCAATCACACTCCATCAAACTAACAACCCACTTATTTGTAAGTGCTGAAATTACTTGTAACTTCAGCACCAGAGAGATTTGAATTTAACTTACAACCTAGTTGCTTTCTCCAAGAGACCGACTCGTAACAAAACCAGTATACTCTAGATCTATTGAGACTAAGAGATATAAGAGTAAGATTAAAATCGGTATTAGACTAAGAAGTTGCACGAATCTATCCGGCCGAAAATAAGATAGCGTGACGAGCAGACGGTGTACCTTATCTGAAATTACTCTATCAGTTAGACTATCCATCCCAACTCACATTAAAAATTCGCTTCAAAGCAATTGAAGTTTCTAAACAATCCTATGTACGACTACAAAGAAATTCACTAACTTGTGTACTAAAAACTTTGAAAGAGTCAAATATGGGCTTCGAAATACTTTGAAATAAATTCCAGAAAAAAACATTAGTTTAAAAAACTGTTGTCTGGATCAAAAAGTGAAGTGTGCATTAAAAACTATGAAAGTTGAAACAGTTAATCACATTTTTATAGACTGGTGCTTTCTGGTCAAAAAGGCAGATTTTTCAATGACCGAGAGAACAAAAAACCTGTCGAGAACAAAAAACCTGGCGTGAACAAACGGCAAACAATCTTGTGAACGCTTGTAATTTTTAACAAAAATGTAAAATTTCTTGGAGTTTATATTGTGAAGCAAATCAAATTTTAGCGCGATAATGCCTTGAATACCACCTTCAAACTTTAAACAGACCAGATTTTTCTTCTTCAGCGTTTAAGAGCCACTGAACTTAGTGTGAAATAGTTCGTGATAAACTTTGCCTAATTTTTTCAGCAAAGTAGGTTAAGAAAACGTTCATACTCAGAATTTGGTTTTATTTAGGACTTTTTTTTAAGTTTAATTCATTTACTTTAATTTCAGGAATACAAAGTTTGCTTTCGAACAATAAAGATCTTAATGTCTCAACATACGTAATCGACTTCTAGTTTCAAAACTGGATTTTAGTTTTCAAATCCAATTTTTAAATGTATTTAGTTTTTTGTTCCAATTTTGTTCCAAACCTCGAATTGTTTTTGAAAAATCAAAGATTATTGTGGTCAATTGAAATTGTTCTGAAAATTGAAAGTAAATGCCTTCCCAAAAACAAACACAAGTCAGTGTTAATTCGTTTCTTTTTAGCATTCCTACACTCGTTTCCAACTGCTTGTTGGCTGTTTTTTAGAGTGACATAAAAAATCTTATATAATCTATATGCAATTTTAATGCTGTCAACTAAAATCAGTTTTGTTGCTTTATGCAGGTTATGTTTTGAATGGCAAAAAAAGTCTATCCATTTTGGTTAACAGGAATTTAAATTCTAGATAGGAGGATAAAACTTATAAGAAAATATATAACTATGATCAAATTAAAGTTTTATTTTGTTTTTTGGAATTGTTCACCTAACGTTAAAACTTTTTCTAACATTAAAATTTAGTGTAGGAAAGTTAATAAAAACCAAGTGTTTTCTCATAATTTACTATAAAAACTGGATGAAAAAACGAACCTTTCTGCTAAGATTTTGGTTTCAGCGAAAGATTTTGTTATCTGGGTCGTTTCATTGCGCGTGGAGCTGCTTCCGAAGCTGCAACGATGAGAGTCAAGCGCACAGACGATTATTACCAGTTCAGAGACCTTATAAAATTAGTCTATAAAACTATCAATTGGTACTCATTTGAAAAAGTGGGTAAGTTTTTGATTTCTTTTTGTTTTCCGTATTTTCCACTCAGCAATATACTCGCTAGAAAGCTTTGGAGCTCCCAACATTAATTGCTTGAAAAATCGGTTGGACCTTTTTTGATATTTTTGCACTTAAGATAGTAACTTAAATTTTGTTCACCAAACGTGAAAAAACTGTTGCTTACAAAAGACAGAAACAAATCGATGCATCAAAAATTGAAAATGTTATCAAGAGATAATTATTACATCAAAAAAGCTGGCTTTTACAGCTGAAAGCATATAGTTTTTCGCTCAATTTGCAAGTTTTTTTTTCTCCAAATTTGCAAATAGTTTTCCAGCAATCAGATTTGAAAGGTTTTTGATTTGACTGTTTGAAAACTTCTGTCATTTAAAGCTCTCTTAGTCAATCATTATTTTGATTTTGAGGCGTTTTGAGCAATTCTCCAAAAATGAGGGGCCAAAATTATTTTGAATCTGCCCCTTTGAAAACGTCCTACAATTTCTGGTGGCTCTTTTTCAGTCCCCCTTTGATTTTTTCTGAAATTCATGAAAGGAAAATCTATATAAAATGACTTTTCATGTTAAAAACGTGTCAGCATGAACAGAAAAACAGAATTTTACATCAATTATATTATGCAAAATGCCGGGTGAACAATTTTTGAACAGTTTTATTTTTTTTGTTATTTCACAAGGGGGGGGGGACCTGGAAAAGAGCCTTTCTGGGCAGTGCATTGGGTTTTTGTTCAGAATGGGGTGGATGCTGCATGAAACAACTCGGCGTCTACAAAGAGTGGGGCCAGGAACATGGGATCTCCCCTCAAGAATATTACGAAGAAGTCATAAATTTCACTTCCGATAACCGGAAAGTGAATCTAATCAGTGTGAGTAAGCAGCGCGAATCAAGTAAAAAGTTTGAACAGCCGAAGTAATGTTAACATATCACCCTGGCTATTATAGTTAAATGCAAGGTTTAATACAACTCAGGGATTCGAACACCTGCTTACCCAAAAGGTCCCCCTTTTTACTTTGTTGAGAAATCAATTTTTGGCTGACGAACCACAAAACTTTTCTAAGGCGCTTTTGGCGCCAATATGTACTAATTTTGAGGTGGAGTGCGTGCCGAAAAAACGCGATTTTTTTATTTTTTATTTATAATTTTCCAAAAAGTCCGTGAAAATGCTTTTTGGCCTGTTTTTTCAAAGGGGTCCTTACAAATATTTGGGAGAGCTCAGAAAAATCAATCTGTTCGACCAAAAATTCATTTTTTTGAAATCGTGAAAAACCTACCACCCTCGAGAAAAACCTACCAATCTCCTCTTGTGAAAATCCTAGATCCACCCCTGGTTATACATATACTAAATTTTTATTTGAGTTTATATTTTGTTTTATTTATTTAAATTATGATGATTTGATTTTGAGTTTATTTTTTTTGTCATATGTCGCTGCACTTAAATTGGTCATAGGTATAAAAAAATTCAATCCCCTGTTTTTGCTTTACGATTGGAAAAGTCAAAAACACAGGCGTCAAAATCATGAGTTGATCTAAGAATTTCTCGAGGGCAATTAGTTTTTTTTGCTAGACGTCTCAAAACAGACAATTTGTGTCTAATGGTGATCTACCAAAATAATCTGCAATTTGCAAAATGAAAAAATAAAAGTGATGAAATGTTAGATATGTTTTGGAAAGAATTTATTATCACGATTAGTTTTTCAAAAATTTATAACTTTCGTCTATATTTGGACGCAGTGATTAGGTGTCTTCTCAGAAAAACTTCTTAATGTTTGATATAATTGAAATTGAATTTTATTTGAGAAGATACTTGTCATACTAAAAAATGTGTTTGTCTTCTTCAATTATAATATAAGGGACCAGAAAAATTGTCCGGTTTTTAACTAATATTTAAGTTGTTTTAAAATAGTTTAGAAAAACTTATTGCACACAAACAGATTATATGTGTTGCAAGCTTTGCTAGTCACTCGATACGAGCTATTTCGAGAACAACTGGAAACATAATTGCTCCGTAAAATGTCGCTTACTAGCTAGATTTTTGAGGTAAAATAGGTTCTATTTTATGCCGCTTCAAAAAGCTCAGATTGTGAAAAACTACCTTTACGAACGATTACATTTCTCCTTTGGTTCAAGGTCAATTTTTGACCTATTATCAGTTTCTTGTAAACACTTCATGAGAAACAATTTTAGCCTGAAGATAATTTGAAGTAAGTTCAGTCTTGATCTTATTCAGTCATCGTCAGTCGCATCAGATGAGTTATATCCTTTTGGAGTAATTTCAGATAAGGTACACCGTCTGCTCGTCACGCTATCTTTTTTTTCGGACGGATAGATTCGTGCAACTTCTTAGTCTAATACCAATCTTAATCTTACTCTTATATCTCCTAGTCTCAATAGATCTAGTGTACACCGGTTTGCGCGAGTTAGTTCCAGAATGAGAACAACTGTATTCTAAGTTTAATTCAAATTGATCTGGTGTTGAAACTACAAGTAGTTTCAACACTTACAAACAAGTGGGTTGTTAGTTTGATGGAGTATGATTGGTTAGTATTTAATATTTTATAGAGATAAAATATCATAATAATAACCAATGATAAATACTAGTTTAGATCTGGTTCCAAATCAGTTGAAGAGTTTGACCATTGTTTGCCCCCCCCACCACTCGTATTTTGCTCCTGTTTTAGGCCCAATACAGCAGGAGTCTGTGTGTTAACATTGTCACTTCGATCGGATTCGGGACTGGGCCAATTGCAGCGCATGAAAACCACCAGGCAACTTATATTCTCAGCCCAAACACCGGTGGAATGATTCATTTTTTCCCTTACGACAAAATACGGGATCAATTGACATGGGATTGGTTCAAATTGAATATTTTATGCGAAGAACAAGCTTGGATCTGTGTGAAATATCCTCCTAATGCAATTGCCAGCGGAAGTTAATGCTCAAATTTCGATGATGTTTTTGTTTGTTCTCAATTTGAAAGTTAACCACGACCTCGTAAAAAAACGTTTTTTCCTTTGAAGTTTTTAAAATGTTTTGCATTTCAAAAACCATGCGTTTCACATCGCTGCAAAGATGAAAAATTTCCGCTGAGTGTTGATGAACAATACAAAAAAATCAACTATTCAGTCTAATTTTATAAGGTTTTCCAATAACTGGCTTTATGTGAAACTCTTTTTAGGAAAACGAAAAAGGTCGTCGGCCAAATTTTGGTTTCAAATCGGCGTGCGGTTTATTTTGATTTTTTATTTAAATCAAATTCTTTTCTCATGTGAGTATTTTTGGTATTTATTAAATTTTTGAGAAAATTTTTTGAGCTCGATTTCTAGAATTGAAAAAAAAATAGTGAACATTTTGGCACTGAAGAATACCAAAAAATAGTTTAAACTGACAAGCAGGCCAGGTTTTTGATGGCAGTAAATTATTATATCTTCTTTTGCTCTCTTTGGTCGCGGCTAGTCGTGAACGTTTTTGCTGCTTACGTTTTGGACTTGCGCCTTTTTCTTGAGCAGAACTGTTTATCAATCGAAAAATATCGTGTTTTATTATAAAAGCCTGAGATTAGAAAAAAATGGCTTCGATTAGATAACGAAAAATCTGAAGCGATTTTGAATTAAATTTTAAACCCTTAGGGAGTTTTAATCGGATGGAGAATTTTCAGGTCAATGCTATCAACAATACAGTGTAAATGTGGCTATCAGAAATTCTTTCACGGTTAACAATTAATTTCAGATGCCAACTTTGAGCAAAAATTATTGAAATTATGGGGCAAAATTTTCATAATGGGCAGTGATGGAAAAAACGGTCGAAAACTTCTAAGGAATTGTACCTATAACGAACTCTTGCTTGTGTTTAACCTCAAATGAAGCCTTGAAAAAAGCCAACGCTCAAAATATTTCGAACTTGTTTTCAAACAATTGGATTGTTTCAGATTAGCATTTTCCACAAAGTTTCGAAACGTTTTTCCCCTTTCATTTCATTTTATCACGGTGTACTTCTGCATTCAGCTTTTTGTCAAGGAACCTACACTAACTTGCGCTGCTTAATTGCGTAGTCCTGTTTTATCTTAGTTTGAAAAAAAAAACGTAATTGTGAAAAATTGAAATGCAAATTATAATCAAAAGGAAACAAAGTTAATATAATCAGCCAAGCACCAAATTAACAAATTTGACCCTAGTTAGGTCCGTTTTTGCTTTTTTTTCGAACAACTCAACTACTTTCTAACTCAGCGTTTTCTGATAAATTCTTCCTATGCCTTCTAAGAAGTTCGCTGTCACTAGCTCAACTTTTCAAAGGAAAATTTGATTAGTTGAAGTTTTCTCAGAGATATAATATTTGAATTTGGTTCTAATTCTACAACTATAAGTCAAAATTGTTCAATTGACGCGTGGTCTTCATCCAGCTGTGCAAATGAAACTCACCCAATGAATTTGATGGAAACGATTTGCTGCTGTTGATATGTTACCACGTGCAAATGTATCACATGGTACTTTTAAATTACTTATGGGGCCAAAAGCTCGTAAGTGACGATAAAAAACAGTAGGAACATGCAGGGTTTTTCCCTGATATACAAGCTAAAATATATAGATGTTGATCTGGCTATTGAGATGGTGAGAACTTTGTGCCAGTGTGTGTTCTAGTCTTTCAATCTTTTCTAAAGGTTTTTCACGCAAAATTACGTAGTGCAAATAATCATCTTTATCATAAATACACAATGCATATGAACAGTTTGAAATTGATTGAATTTGTTTTTTGGCGCCCTTGGTGCTGTCTGTGGTTGTGGATTGAGTTAATTAGTATCTGCAACCTTCCCGCACCGAGCGCCCGAGACAAAAATCATCGATTATAATCCATTCCGAATGTAAAATTCAGACAACGAAATCGATTATATTGCCATTATAATCGATTATTTTTGAGAAAAATTAATCCATTATAATCCATTATAATCGATTATAATCCTTTATTTTTGTCACTGAAATCGAATATTTTTGCCAAGATAATCCATTATAATCGCTTACTTTGAAATGAAAAGCCATTATAAACCATTATAATTGATTATAATCCATTTCAATTTTAGTTCTAAATTCGATTATTTTTGCAAAATTTTGCAAATTTTGCGAGAAGTTTGCAGAAATTATGCCCTGTCTTTTACTAAATGCCATGTCTCAACTTCTTACCCAGCTAAAGGGGAAGGGTAAACTGGAGGGGGGGGGGGAGTAAACTGGTGGGTGGTAGTATACTGGGTACTGGGGGCTTAACTGGCTGGGGGGGGGGGGGGGGGTAAAATGAAGTGTTAAACTGCGATGAATTAGAAAAACTAGAGACAAAAAAAATTTATATGTTTTTCTTAAATGTAACATTTTATGAAACATAACACGTAGCAACTACACTAATCAGGAAATGAGATAATTTTTAACAAAATTGTAAATTTCATGAATAACCTCTCGAAAAAATCCATTATAATTGATTGTAATCGTTTTTAATCGATTTTATTGGGATAAAAAATATTAGGTTTCTAATCCATTACTAATGGATTATAATAGATTATTTTGTCAGTTTTTAGATGCTGACCATATTATGACAATTTAATCGATTATGATCCATGGGTGCTCGGTGCGGGTTGTCACTGAGGGTGCTCTTGATCTGAAATAATTGAAGCTGTTATGATTTGAAATACAGTTGGAGATACTATTAACGCTGAATTGACGTACCGACTAGCTCGTTTCTCACAGGTCGAATTATGTATCGTAAAATAACCATTTCAGTTTTAAGTACTTTTTTCTAACAATCTTCAGGCTACAAAAATTGATTTACTTAAAAGGAAAACTATCTGTGGGAAACATCATTTAACGCTTTCGGCGAAATCAAATAATAAAAAAAGTCAAAATATTAATGCAAAAAGACGAATTTGACAAAATTTTCCAGATTTTTTTCTCTGATTTTTTTTGCTGCTGTTCATTGAACGGATACAATCATTGTAATCAGTTCAAACTTACTGCGCCTTCAAAAATATCACTCACAAATATCACTCACAATATCACTCACACTTCAGCAACACACACAAAAAAAAAACATTAATTCAAAGAAAGAACCATTAAAAACTGCAGAACCAAAATAGCTGGGACGGCGAAGATTCGGATTCCAATTCCGAGTACTAACCATTAGTGTTGCCCTGTGCATAGACTGCCAAAGAAAAGCAGAGGAGGCCGGACAAGGCCCAAGCCGCGCAGCGACGATGAAGGACGACGACAGAAAGGAATGAAATGCCAACGGACAAAAAAAAAACAAAACAAAGGAGTAGGCGCACGCAGGCAAAACGGCACTTAAGGAGAAATAAAGTAGTGCCGCGAGCGTGATCAAAGAGCGTGCGGAGACGAGAATGGGAGGGCTAAAAAGAAGGCGGGAGACTGCGAAAACAGCGGCTAGTGTCCTACTCAAGTCAGGATTTGCAGGATTTGGACAATATGCGATCGCCAAAAAGTCCGGGCTTGTTATAGGATACAGGAGAAAAATTTAACCAGAATTTTAAAGGTATATGACCAGGGAGAGGGTTGAGTTTTGGTCTAAAATTCAGAAGTATTTGTGTTTCTGCAATTTCAAGTTACAATTTAAAATTTTTAAGCTAGACGGAATGTCATATATATACATTTCATATGAACAGTTTGAGTTTGTTTTGATTGAGTTCTTTATTTGCGCCCTTGTGTTGTCAGCGGTTAATTAGTACCTGCCATCTTGTCACTGTTCATGCTCTCGATCTGAAATAGTTGAATCTGTTTTGATATGAAATACAATTGGAGATACTATTATTTCTGAATTGACGTACCGACTAATTCGTTTTTCACAGGTCGAAGGATGTATCGTACTATAACTATTTCAGTTTTAACCTCCCTCAACACTTCATGCGAAATCAAATAATAAAAAAGTCAAAATAATACTGCAAGAGGACTATTTTGACAAAACTGTCTTGATTCATGCTAAGATTTTTTGTTTTTGCTCAGTGACCGAATACAATCATTGTACTCATGTCAAACTCACTAGTCCCTTAATAATATCACCGCAACACACACAGAAAAAACATTAAATCAAAGAAGTAACGATAAAAAAAAGTTGCAGTTTTTCAAGAATGCCGGTGCAACAATCAGTAATACTTACCAAGTAGCCACTCTCACTTGTTTATCTAACAAATTAAAAAACAAATTTAGTTTTTTAAGTTAAATCATATGGCACTAACTTCAGTCAATTTTCATTCTCAAACTGTTTTTAGCTTTTGTCTGAACCCGGGTTGATCAAAACTTCTTATTATTCATTTTCCATATATGAAAAACTTCTTACGATGCAATTCCAAACAATTGCATACGTACAGAAAAATGTAGACAAGCATTTTTTGATATGTGAATGTGAAAAATTTTTGAGAGAAGAATTCCTATAAAACAAAAAGTTGATTTTTTCCTAAGAAAATTCTCGAACTTAAATTTTCCGACCGCAAGTGACAAAGATCTTCGTTTTCTAAAGGTTGGCCGTTGTTGCTTTTAAATTGCATCGAAAATGACCTGAGCTGTCTTTAAGCTGTCATTCATAAACGATATAACGAAAATAACAAACTTTTAAACTTTTGCAAAGTTTTTCAACTTTTGAATCTTAAAAATATCAGTAATTGATCACGGCATACATAAACATGCCATTCAAATCAAAATAAGCCTTTTCATCGTTTAAAAAAATTAGGCAAAAATGAAAAACAAAATCCAATATTAGTGTATCGTTATGCACACAAAAGATTAAATTTACCATAAAAATTATTTTTTCGAGTACAAAATTCACTTTGCAGTTGAAAAAAAAACAAAAAAGTTTTGTGGCAATTTCAAAATTAATTGTGTCGCCATAAAAAAAGCTAGTCTTACAATTTCCATATTTAGAATTTGTATCCTAAGCATTTTGTTTT